TTCCTTGCTTGGCTTTGCTATGGAAAAGTTGCTATGAACAATCACATACAAGTGTTGTGTGAACATTAGTTTTATTTCTCTAGGATAAATGCCAAGGAATGTGAGTGTTAAGAAATATGATTCAGTGTATGTTGTTTGGCCAGAAACTGCCAGTCTTCCACAAGGGCTGTTCTATTTCACATCCCTACACAGTGCATAAAAGATCCAGTTTCTCCAAATCCTCACAAACATTTGATATTGTTATGATTATGTATTCTAATAGGGAGATAGAGCTGTAGTCTTAGTTTGGAATGTCACTCTATGTTCTTTTTGTCATTTGTATATCCTGTTCAGTAAAATATCCCTTCAAGTGTTCTGCTTGTTTTCAAATCAAATTGTTTGCTTTTTTTAAGGTGGAATTCCAAGAGTTCTTTTTACACACATACTAGCTATGAGTCCATTGTTATATGTGTGGTTTGGAAACATTTTCTCTCAATTTGTACTTTGTCTTCTCATCTTTTTGGTCTTTTTTGAAGGTCCAATATATCAGTTTTCCTTTTATTAGATCATGGTTTTGGTGTAATATCTAAGAACTCTTTACTTAGTTCTAGCTCTCAACTGTTTTCTCATTTGTATCTACCAGTTTATTACTCTTACATTTATATGTGCAATCATTTTGAGGTAAGTCTAGTCTAGGCTGGCCTCACACTTTTGGCCTCAAGAGATTTTCCTATCTTAGCCTCCCACAATGGTGGCCCAGTTTGCAATATATTTCTGGTTAATTTTTGTATTACACAGAGCAAGTGATGGAATGAGAAAGAGTCTCTTCGGCTGGGTGAGATGGCTCATGCCTGTAATCCTAGCTACTTGAGAAATATAGAGTTCAGAGGTTGAGATCAAGACAAGGCCAGGCAAAAAAAAAAAAAAAAAGCTGTCGAGATCTCTTTTAATCAACACAAACCTGGGCACTACGGTATGCACCTGCTATCCCCCTTACATGGGAAGATAGTAGTCCTGACTGGCCTGGGCATAAATGTAACACCTTCTTTGAAAAATAAACGAAAAAGAACTAACAACATGGTTCAAGTGGTAGAGCACCTGCCTGGAAAGCACAAAGCCCTGAGTTCAGCCTCTAGTACTGAAGAGAAGAAAAAAAAGTTCTCTAAACTCCAAAAAATAATATTTGGGACAGACATTGGTGGCTCAGGCCTGTCATCCTAGCTACTCAGGAGGCTGAGATCTGAAGATTAAGATTTGAAGCCAACCTGGGCAGAAAAAGTCCATGAGACTCTTGGCTCCAACTACCCAAAAAGCCAGAAGGTGGAGCTGTGGCTCAAGTGGTAGAACACTATCTTTGGGCAAATAAAGCTCAGGGACAGCATCCAGGCCCGTGTTCAAGCTCCAAGACTGTAACCACAACAAAATTGGGAGAAATAACAGAGCATTGGAATGAGAATACATAGAGAACTAGGGGTAAGCTTCAGCAAGGGAAAGGAGAAATTTACATAAAATACTTGTATACATACAAAAGTCATTGTACTTGAAGACCTGTGGCAAGAGTTGGCCTGAGCTTACAGGTGGAAATGTATCTTGTCTGGATTGCTACAGTTTGTAAGAATATTAATGATAATCTTTGCTGCAGAAATCTATGCATGCCTGCTTGGAGGAATCTTCTTTGGCTTTTGAAAAGTGCTTACGTGAGACAGGCAGGCATAAGCCCTCTCCTTTCACTACTACTTAACCGTAATTCTGTGTGGGTCAGACCTTGGTATCATCAGCTTTCCTGCTCCCAAGTAAAGTCTGCGACCATCAGGACAGAAAATACCGTGTGCTTGGTAAATATCTGTCAAATGAACGAGAGGCACCTGCCATGGGCCTTCTAAGACCTTCCAGTTGTGGACACAGCATCTGCACAAGGCCTTCCGTAGCTTGCACAGAGCAGACATGAGAATCTGAGGGGAGTACGCGCTGCGTCCTGTGGCCAGCCAGGCAGCCTGGGCGGCCCTGGCTCTGGACCCACTGTGGCTCACAGCGGGTTCTTGTCGGCTGGTGCTCTGCCAGCTTACCTCTTCTAGGAACATCCAGATGACTCCAGCTTCTCTCTGCCAACAGCGGGTATGACACAACTTCGAGGGCGTCTATGGGGGCGGGTGGGCCTAAACACTGGTAGCCTGGCGTGCTGGAGCGGCATGGGGCACGGTGGAGCAGCTGGGCAGCTCTGGACGGCGCTGAGAGGCGCTCAGTGCCCAAAGAGGAAAGCCCTGGTGGGAATAGGGGTATGCCGGGGAGGGTGGCCGGCTGGGGGCCCAGGGTGGCCAGGCACCGAGCAGCCATGGGCCTGCTGGGTGCGGCTGCCCAGTCACTGAGGAGCGCGGGGCACGCTGGGAGTGCAAGGCATGCTGGGAGCAGCTGACCAGGGCCGCCAGACACTGAGGTGCGTGGGGTCGGCTGGGCGCACGGGGCATGCTGGGAACAGCTCCCCGGGGCGGCCAGACGCCCACGAGCGAGAGCAGGCTGGAAGAAGGTCCTGACGGGGGCCCGGAGTCCGGTGGGCGCCGGAGCGCGGGGCACGCTGGGAGCCCGGGGTCTCCGGAGCGGCTCCCCGGAGAGGGAAGGGCTGAGGAGAGCGGCCGGAGCAGGCCCCGGAGGCCCTGGCGGAGCAGGCCCTGCGCGCACGGGGGCTTCCCGGTGTGGGAAGCGAGTCGGGGTTGGGCCCAGCCGGGAGGGAGGATGGGACGGGGAGGGCCCCGACCTCCCTGGCGGGCCCGGCTCGGGCAGGTCCGCCGCACTGGCCTCGCAGCCTCCGGCTTTGACAGCAGGAAAGGCCTGGCCAGCCGGAGGCCTCACGGGTTCCAGTGGTTGGCTGGTGGTGTTTGTTCTTAAGGTTATACTTCGTGAGGAACGCATAGAATTGGCTTTCTGGGAAAAATGTGTTGAGGGCTGGGGAATGTGGCTTAGCTACCGCTCGCCTCGCATTCCCTGAGTGCTAAGTTCGATTCCTCAGCGCCACATACAGAGAAAAAGCCGGAAGTGGCGCTGTGGCTCAAGTGCTAGAGTGCTAGCCTTGAGCAAAAGCAAAAGCAGCACAGGGACAGTGCCCAGGCCCTGAATTCAAACCCCAGGACTGGCCAAAAAAAAAAAAAAAAAAGGTAATAAACCCCTCAGATAGTTCCATCTAGTTCTAGAAGCCCAGGACCTGCAGGAGGCCGTAAGTGCAGCCCTTACTGAACAACGTAATGCTTGGGCACCCACTATGTGGGAGGTATAAGTAAGGAGGATCCAGGTCTCGTTTCAAACCCAACGTACTATTAAGGAAAAAACAGGGATGGGAGCCAAGTGAGAACAGGAGGCTCTGACTTCAAGCCCTGATACTAGACCACAGAGATATCAAAAGTTCTGGGGGTGAAGTTCAAGTGGTAGAGCACCTCTCTAGCAAGCATGGAAGTCCTCGGCTCAAACCCAAGTTACTACCTAAAAAAGAAAAATCTACTGAAGTTTTCAAACCCTTTGTTTCTTAGAGAAATGGTTGGAGCCCAAAGGACATTCTCAACATTCTTCAAATGACACCAAATTACACTTTTGTTACTGTGATCAAGGTTAAGACTGTTCCAATTCCTGGGCTAGTATGTGATTATTTATCTCCTCAAAGAAAAAGTATGTTGATGTTAAAAAACAAGAGTCAAAGTTTCTTCCACCCTTGTATTTGTACTTGTTAGAGCACTTGACCTTCAGTAGATTAGCATACTCTTTACATTCAAGTTTTCTGTAATATTAAAGACTTCAGATATGCTCTGTGAATTACCAGTTGTCAAATGTGCTAAAAAAAAGAAGTTTTAAAGCCAGATAATTTAGTGGAAAAAAGTACACAATTAAAATTTGGAGGTCTTAGTTTCCTTTTATGTAAAATGAAAGATAATACATTTTTTCTTTCTTTTTTTTTATGGTTGTGGGGCTTGAACTCAAGGCCTGGGTGCTGTCCCTGATCTCTTACACTCAAGGCTACCACTCTTAACAGTGTGAGCCACAGTGCTAACTTCCAAAATAATACATTCTTTAACCTTGAGGTGACTTAAAATTGGGAACAGCAAAAGATTCAACTGTACATTTTGAGTTTTAAATTATTGTAAAGATTTTGTTCTTCTACAAAGAAGATGTAACAAGAATAACCATGAACTATGGGAAAATTTATGATAGCAGAAACATAGAGAAGACTACTCATTTAATAAATTAGTTGGTGTTTTGCATTATAATTATAGTATTCCACTGTAAGTTTAAAAGCTAAATTATCTTTGAGGGTGATGAAAATGTTCTAAAATTTATTGCATTAGTAGTTGAATAATTCTGAATATAGTAAGAAAATTTAATTGTGCATTGAGTAAATTCTGTTATATGAAACACACGCCACACCACACACACACACACACACACACACACACACAGGAGTTTTGAACCCAAAGCCTTGCCCTTGCTAGGCAGGAACTTCAATAGTTGACCCACACCCCCCAGCTCTTTTGGCTTGTAGTTATTTGCAGAGGTAGAGGAATAACTTTTTTAAGTTATTTTTTGAATTACCTTTTTTCCATTGAGGCAGCTTCAGACCCTGATCCTCCTCCTTATACCTTCCACCAAAGTAGGATTACAGATGCACACCACCACACCTAACTTAATTGAAATGGTATCTTGCTAACTTTTTACCCAGGTTGGTCTCAAACCTTGATGTTCCTAATCTCTACCTCCTACCTATGTGAACTATATCATTTTTGGTTCTATGACCTATATCTTAATAAAATGTACCAAAACAATCTAGAAATCATTAGAAAATCTTGAAGGTAAATAAAATATTAGTGAAATGTAAATGCTGAGTTTGCCAATTTGTTTTTGTTTTGTTATTCTAACACTATGTCAAATATTATGAGTTGAATTGATAATTGAAGCCCAGCAAAAGCCTAGACAGTTTACTATCTTTTATTACTCTCTATCTTTAAAGGTCTGCCTGTTAAAATACCCAACTACAGGAAAATATGAATGATTCTAGGCAGCAGTCACTGTTCTTCATCACCTTTCCAGATTTACACAAACTCTGTGCTGTCCGGATAATACTGAGTGAAAGAGTGGCAGATACTGAAATTAGGAGTACACAAATGAAAATGTGCAGGTAAATATGTGTCTTCTGACTAAGCATTTTAGACTTCTTAAAAATCTATAAGATTGTTTTAGACGTACCCCCATACAAAGAAAAATATTCAGTATGTATATATTATTTGAAATATAGGATCCCGATTTTGGCTAGGTATGTTAAATTACATTTACTTGAGATGGACTCTCTCACTGTTTAGTTTCATATGCAATCTATGTTCCATCTTAAAATTTAAAATCTCTCCATTCATGAATTAAGTCAAGCTCCCCAAAATATGTAGTAATTAGTGAGTATAATATTCTTTATAGACACCTAAACAGTCCATAAAATTTTCAAAATTTCTAAATTTTCAGATAAACATAAAACACTCAAAAGTATTTCTCTAAGAATTGCTCTGAAATACTGAAGACTGGGGACTTACCATGTATTAGTTCCTTAAAGTGGAGTACGTAAAGGATTCATAGAATGCATGAGAGGATTGTTTTTTTAAGTGAATTTCTTAGAAAACAACAAAAACCCATAAAACTGTTAGGAGAAAGGTAGGTGTGGTGATGCATGGCTATAATCCCAGCATTCTGGATGCTGAGGCAGGAGGATCAAGACTTCAAGGCCAACCTGGGCCATCTGGTAAGACTTTTCAAGAGAAAAAATGCTACGGGAAAAAAAATGTGATGAAAACAGTCTTGGAATATCCTCATTACCTTATTATTTATAATACATTCTTCCATATTGTGTATGTATTTTTCCATCCAAGCCCTTCAGGGAGTCTGAACTCTTTCTGCTTATGTGTAATACAGTGAATGATACCCATTGCAGATTTACCTGTGCCCCTTTTGGAAAATACTAAAATTGCAAAAAATTAAAATTAAAAAAAATCCTAAAATAAATAGTTTGCCCCTGAGTTAAAGGTTGCTATGCCTGTGGAGTGAGGCTGTCTTAACTCATCGTCATAGTAACCAGTGACCTAGACCAGAGAACAGAGATCCAGCTGTCAGATGAAGAGAGCCTTTGCATCTGCTTCCCAGATAGCAGGGCCTGCTACGTGGTTTCTAACAGGTTTAAAGCAACTAGAAGCAGGCTGGCCCAACTTGCGTTTATGTTTTAGATGTTACTATTTTATGTTTTTTTCTTCTTTTTTTTTTCTTTTTTTTTTCCAGGGCTGAGGACTGAACCCAGGGCCTTGCGCGTGCTGCACGGGCGGGCGCCCTTCTGCTGGGCCAAACCCCCAGCCCCTATTTTATGTTTTATTAGCTCTTCTAGTTATGTTTTATGTTTTATTAGCTCTTATTAGTTACAAAGAGAGAAATTTCATTACTATATCTCCACACGAATTTACTCTATTTTCCAATCATTCTCACCCTCTCTATCACACTCTCTCCTCCCTACCCCCAAAAAATTACATCTCCAACGAGTTTCCTTATTTTGCTTCTATAGTTGCAACAAAACTATTTCAACAGTATTTAACCTCTTTTATCCACCCCACCCCACCCCACCCACCTACAGAGTCTTTTTTTCTCCCCAACAGCCCATCTCACTTATAAAGTCAACACCATATACATACTGAGTCATCTAAACTTGTTCTCTAATTATTAGTGATATTGAGAAATTTCAAAATTTAATTGTGTTCCTTCTTTTTCTTTAACCTTTGAAAAAGATTTTGATAGTAATCCAAATTATAATTTTTTTTTTTTTTGGTTAGTCATGGGGCTTGAATTCGGCCTGGGTGCTGTCCCTCAGCTCTTCAGCTCAAGGCTAGTGCTCTACCACTTGAGCCACAGCACGACTTCTGGTTTTCTGCCCACGCAGGCTTTGAACAGTGATCCTCAGATATCAGCCTCCTGACTAGCTAGGATTACAGGTGTGAGCCACCAGCACCCAGCTGAATTATAATTTATAATTTTTGATGTTTATTTGGTTGGGGATCATTAAACTAAAACTCCTACTCACTTCTTTCTGGCTTAAGAAATTTTCTTTAATGAAAGAAATCTACTTAATAGTTCTGATTTTGAAGTGATTTGTAATTTTACTGATAGGTGAGCCATAGACTTCTACCTGCCTCGGGAGGGAGACAACAAAGGGAAGAAGGAAGATACTTGGAAGAGAAATGGAATTTTGAAAGAAGGAATTTAGATTCACAAATGAAAAAAGATTGAAAATCTCAGATATGAGGACAGATTCTCAGCCAAACTCCAGTGGCTTATGCCTATCATCCTACTTAGGAGGCTGAGATCTTAGGATCATAGTTTGAAGCCAACCTTGGCAGGAAAGTCCATGAAACTTTTTTTTTTTTTGTCAGTTGTGGGGCTTGAACTCTGGGCTTGGGCGCTGTCCTGTGCTCTTCAACAGGTGAGTGCTCTATCACTTGAACCACAGGGCCACTTCTGGTTTTCTAGTAGTTTATTGGAGATAAAAATCTCACAGCCTTTCCTGCCCAGGCTGTCTTTGAACTGTGATCCTCAGATCTCAGCCTCCTGAGTGGCTGAGCCACCAGTGTGAGCCACCAGCGCCCAGCTCCATGAGACTCTTATTTCCAGTTAACTACCAAAAAACTGGAAATGGAGCTGTGGCTCAAGTTGTAGAATGCTAGCCTTGAGCAAAAAAACAGGGACAGTTCCCCCATTCAAGCTCCAGGACTAGAACAAAGAAAAAGAAAGCCGGCGCCGGTGGCTCATGCCTGTAATCCTAGCTGCTCAGGAGGCTGAGATCTGAGGATCGCAGTTCAAAGCCAGCCCCATCAAGAATGTCCATGAGACTCCAATCTCCAATAAACCACTAGAAAACCGGAAGTGGTGCTATAGCTCAAGTGGTAGAGTGCTAGCCTTGAGCTGTAGAGCTCAGGGACAGCACCCAGGCCCAGAGTTTAAGCCTTACAACCGACAAGAAAAAAAGAGAGAGAAATTTTCAGATCTCTATCACCAGGTGCGATTTCATAACTCTCTTCTTTTTTCAGCACTTCAGTTTAAACACGGATCCTTACACTTGACCCCCCTCCAGCCCTGTAATTAACCCTCTCAATTCCGACATTGGCTGGCCCTGCAATGTTCAAGCTTCCACACTAAATGCAATGAGAGACACAGAAATCTTTAACACACTCTTTGCCCAGAAGGAACTTAAATTTTAGGAAAACAAAATCTCTAAATGTTCTAAATAAGCAAAAGCACAGACAATGTACAAGCCCATTTTGAAATTAACATATTTTTCTTCACAGGCAATTGCTATTTTTACATCAAGATATTCTTACAGCACCTGTGCCTGGAATATTAAACCAAATTTGGGTGGTGATGGCGGTTAGTATTACCAACTATTGAGAGTAATATTGGTGAACACTAATTCATGTATAGTAGCTGAAAGTAAGGATAGTTAATCATTCTATGTTGTAGCTTGAAAAATTAACAGACTTTGATGTGCCTAAGGTTTAAGATCCATTTTTGTGGCTCTAAACTAATATTTAATTTTCTAAGTAGATTTGTTCATGAATAAATGAATAGACTTATTAAGAATAATTTTTAAGATAGCATAGAATTTATAGCTTTGATCATAGAGTTACACTTAAAGAAGTTTTTCAATTTAGAATATCAAATGTCTGTAAAAGAACTCAGTGTTGGGGCTGGGAAGGTAGCTCAGCGGTAGAGTGCATGCCTTGCAAGCATGAGGCCCTGGGTTCGATTCCTCGGCACCACATAAATAGAAAAAGCCAGAAGTGGCGCTGTGGCTCCAGTGGTAGAGCGCTAGCCTTGAGCTGAGGGATAGCGCCCAGACCCAGAGGTCAAACCCCATGACGGGCACAAAAACAAACAAAAACAGAACTCAGAGTTATTGGTTTTGTTTTTGTTTTTGCTGGTCGTGGAGCTTGAACTCTGGGCCTGGGCACTGTCCTGAGCTCTTCAGCTCAAGACTAGCACTCCACCACTTGAGCCATAGCACCCACTTCCAGCTTTTACTGTGTATGTGGTGCTGAGGAATCGAACCCAGAGCCTCATGCATGCAAGGCAAGCACTCTACCTCTGAGCCACGTTCCCAGCCCCATCAGTGTTACTGTTTTTAACTTAAAAGTTTTATTTATTTTGCCATCACAACCTTACAAGAAACAGAAAGGAGGCCCAACAATCAGAAAGCCATCCATTTCTCACTATTTAAACCAAGGCCTTGGACTGGGAATGTGGCTTAGTTGTAGAGTGCTTGCCTAACATGCATGAAGCCCTAGGTTCAATTTTTCAATATGTGGCTCAAGTGGTAGAGTGATAGCCTTGAGCAAAAGAAGCTCTGGAACAGTGCCCAGACCCTGAGTTCAAGCCCCAAGACTGGCAAGAAATAAACCAAGGCCTTGGCCGTGTGTGCGTGTGTGTGTGTGTGTGAGTGTGTGTGTGTTTACATATAGTAGAAAATGGGATTCATTATTTTAAACTTGCCTTTTATATTCCCTTTAATAAACTCCACTGGATACTTTTCTATGTTAATGTGTACATCTTCCTTTTTTGTGTGATGATCCTGGGGCTTGAACTAAGGGACTGGGTGCTATCCCTGAGCTTTTTTGCTCAAGGCTAGCACTCTACCACAGCTGGCTTTCTTTCTTTGTGTGTGTGTGTGTGTGTGTGTGTGTGTGTGTGTGTGTGTGCGCTTAATCAGAGAGAAGAGTTTCATAGCCTTTCCTGCCTGGCCTAGCTGTGAGTGATTCTCAGATCACAACCTCCCAAATATCTAGGATTATAGGTGTGAACCACCAGCACCAACCCATCTTCCTCATTCTTTTCTATTTATTTATTTTTTTTTGGTCGGCCGTGGGGCTTGAACTCTGGGCTTGGGCGCTGTCCCTCAGCTCTTCAGCTCAAGGCAAGTGCTGTACCACTTGAGCTACAGCGCCACTTCTGGTTTTCTGGTGGTTTATTGGAGATAGAAGTCTCACGGTCCCTCCTGCCCGGGCTGGCTTTCAACCACGATCCTCAGATCTCAGCCTCCTGAGTAGCTAGGATTACAGGCGTGAGCCACCAGCGCCCGGCCCATCTTCCTCATTCTTAAACAGTGAAATGTTTTATTGTACGATGTGCAGTAATTTAAGTTTTCTAATGCACATCTCAGTTAGTTGTGTTAGTATAAGCATAGTACTTCAGAAAGCAGCATTGAGGTTATTTTAATTTCTGGTTGTTTCTAGGACTCATTTTTTTTTTTTTGGAGTGGGGGTCTGGTTGTGGAGCCTGAACTCTGGGCCTGGGCACTGTCCCTCAGTTCTTCAGCTCAAGGCTAGTGCTCTACCACTTGAGCCACAGCACCACTTCTGGCTTTTTTTCTTTTTGCTTATGTGATGCTGGGGAATCGAACCCAGGGCCTCATGCATGCAAGGCAAGCACTCTACCACTGAGCCACCTTCCCAGCCCTCATTTTTTAAAGTGTGTTTTGTTATGCATTTTCAACTATAGATATTGCTAAGTTACTCTCAGAAGAATTTGTTACAGATTACATTTTTAGCAAATGACATTTGAAAGAATCTGTTTTTGAGGTCCTTTAAAAAACTGGCATCGGTGGCTCATGCCTGTAATCCTGGCTACTCAGGAGACTGAGATCTGATGATCATGATTCAAAGCCAGTCCGGGCAGGAAAGTCTGTGAAACTCTTATCTCCAATTGACCACCAGAAAACCTGAGGTGGCTCTGTGGCTCTGTAGTAGAGCACTAGCCTTGAGCTGAAGAGCTCAGGGACAATGCCCAGGCCCAGAGTTCAGGCCCCACGACCGACAAAAAAAAAAACAAAACAAACAACAACACTGGATATTAGCAGTCTTTAAATCTGTGATGTTGAAAAAAATGTTTCTTTAATTTGTATTTTTTATTAATTAATTGGAGCACGTAGGCATTTTGAAGTTGGACTACCATTCATGTCCTTTCTCTTCATTTATGTCTAAAAATTCATTATACATTAAAAAACATGGGAACCATTCACATATGAAATTTATTGGCCCTTCCTTTAAGTGGCATCAGGAGTCACATCATTGGCAGAGGTTTTCCTAATTTTGAGAATGTACACACAGATTCTAATTCAGGGAAAGAATGATATCAGGGCTTCAAGACATAGAAGCTGCTAAAATGATGGTTTGATTTTATGCCCTCTGCTGCATTATGCTTAAGATATTTATTAAATTATTTAGTTATATATTTATGTTAAGTCCTTTTTACAAATGTGTGTTTTTGTTATAGATATCATTTTTTAAAGCTGGGAATCTCAATGCCTACATTGAAAATCATGGAGCTAAGGTAAGTTTTTTAAAGGATAGTAATTTCATGTGTTATGATATTGGCTATATATTCAACTTTATTCTGTTGACAAACAAAAAGTGGAGTATCTTTCTCATAAATTATTGCTGTGCTCATGAAAGAACCCAGCAATTTTTACAAGAAATCATTTTGTGCACATTTAACACAGAAGGAAAGGAAGAAGCCTATGTTTTGTTGTTAGTTTAATTGCAGGATTTTATGTAGCATTTTCATTTACTGTACATATCTTTAAATAATCACATTTCCCCATTTTACAAAGGAAGTAAGTGAAACCTACAGAGATGGAATTATTGTCCACAATTATATACCTAATGTGGAGAAACAAAACACTGTGCATTGCATTCTATTTGAAGATGAACTTCTAGAGCTTAGCAATGAGAAAAAGTGAAAATCTAGAGTTGTCCCCTCTTTATTTCAGCAAATGAAATCATGAGACATTGGCTAAAGCTTACAGCATACCTCTCTGTAGCACCTCTGGGCAATGTAATGCACTTATTCCAGCAGCCTGGCCAGCAGCCACTGTTAGCCTCTGTTCCTCAGTCTGCTGGGGTTCAGGACAGTGAGGCCTCTGGTCACCTCCAAGATGAAATGTTGCCATTAGCTTCTAGGAAGATCATAAAGTTTTATGAATTCTAAATGTTCTTTACCATTTCCTGAGATATCTCTGAATGACCTAAAAGTTAATTTTAATCCAGAAGTTTATTTTAATCACCAGTCACAGTGTGGGAACATAGTGTTGTTTAGGAATAGTAGGAGAGATGATGATCAAATCATTTTGCTGTGACAAGCGTTTGGTCATCTAAAGATTCTGGTTTTAGGACCATTTATGAACTGTGAGAATTATTGGTGATTTGGGGAGCTTTCAACAGGGATAAATAATTTATTCTTCTTGCACATCCTATGCACAGATTTTCCTGTTATGGGAATAACCCAATAAAAAGATAGTAGAGAATCTGTCTCTGACTTTGTTTTACATACTGACATTATCTTAGATCACTGGCACAGACGGTTGTGAATGATAGAATTGTCCATCCTTGCCTGCATGTCAGACTGAGTCTGTGCTGATACATACTGCTATATTGGGATTCATTCCTCAGATAAAGGAAAACATCAGCACAGAAATTAAGGAAAAATTAATTTGACTTTCCAAGTAGACCCCATGGTTTGTGAGATTTGGTCAGCTGCTTGGGATCTGTGTCTCTGGAACTATCATTGAAGTGAGCATAACTGAGGTAGCCATCATCTTGCCATGTGGAGTCCTATTGATATAGCCGTAAGTAGGTTTTCTATGAGACAAACAGAGCAGCTGTGATCCCATCCCCTGCTAGGTACTTCTAGTGTATTCTAGAAATATTTCACTGGAAACCAAAGTGGTTCAAAAGTGAGGAATGCTTAATATTTGGAGAAAATTCTCCATAACTGTTTCCTTTTTCCCACAGTCACAAAGCAGCTTTTTTAAAAAAAATTCTGGACTATATTTTCAAGATGTTTGTATAATAAACTGCCTTGTCTCCACCTTTGATTAGCTTTTTTTTTTGGGGGGGGGTCTGGTCATGGGACCTGAACTCTGGGCCTGGGCACTGTCCTGAGCTCTTCAGCTCAAG